CCATGTAGCCAAATAGCTTCCTTAAAGGCTTTTATCACTGCCATGTACTCTGCCTCTGTAGTAGACAAAGCCACCATTGATTGAAGCGTTGACCTCCAATTCACTGGCCCTTTAGCAAGCGTAAATAATACTCCGTTGTTGACTGGCGTTTGTCCAAGTCACCAGTATAATCTTAGTCCACATATCCAACCAGATTCTGTCTGAGTCTATGATCTCTCTCGTACTTTATACCCATATTAATTGTGCCATGTAAGTACCTTAAGATCCACTTCACTGCTTGCCAATGACCTTTTTCCTAGATCATGCATATATTTGCTTACCATACTTACAGCATGTGAGATGTCAAGCATTGTACAAACCATAGCATACATTAATGCACCAACTGTATTTGCATATGGAACCTGTGCCATATGTTTCCATTCGTCTTCTGTGTGTGGAGACATTGAAGCACTAAGCTTGAAATGAGGGGCCAATGGTGTACTCACAGCTTTTGTTTTCCCATTTATGCTAAATCTATCTAACACCTTTTTCAAATACTGGGTTTGTGTTAGACAAAACTGTGCCCTTCTTCCTGTCTCTTTTGATCTCCATGCCAAGAGTTTTCTTTGCATCGCCAAGATCCTTCATTTCAAACTCTCCTACCAACTATGCCTTGAGTTTGTCAATCTCTAACTTGCTCTTAGATGCAATCAACATATCATCTACATATAAGAACAAATAGATGAAGGAACCATTAGAAAGCTTACGGAAATATACACAATGATCATACTGACTTCTTGTGTATTTCTTTTCCGTCATGAACCGATCAAAATGCTTGTACCACTATCTCGGGGATTGCTTTAATCCCTACAACAATTTGTTCAGCTTACAGGTCCAATTCTCTTTTCTAGCAACTTTGAAACCATCTGGCTGGGACATGCATATCTCCTCTTCAAGATCTCCATGTAAGAAGGCAATTTTGACATCGAGTTGGGTGAGCTCGAGATCAAATTGTGCAACAAAAGCTAGCAAGATATGAATAAACGTGTGCTTCATAATAGGTAAGAATACCTCATTGTAATCTATTCTTTCCTTCTGGCAATAGCCTTTAGCTACCAATCTAGCTTTGAATCTGATGTTGTCTTTGCCTACGATGCCTTCATTCTCAGTGTAAACCCACTTACACCCAATTACTTTCTTGCCCTTTGGAAGTTGCACCAACTCCCAAGTCCGGTTCTTATGGAGTGACCCGATCTCTTCATCCATAGCCTCCTTCCAATTGATACTTTCTGCATTCGGCACAACTTCTTTGAACATGCAAGGAATATTTTCTTCAATGATTGGAAGTGCATAGGCCACCATATCGGTCATCCAACCGGGTTGCTTAATTACCCTTTTTTCTTTTCTGATTGCAATATGTTCTGACTGTTGTGGGGCCTTTGGATCTTCATTCTCATTTGAACTCTCTTTAGGATCTTCTTCAATCAACTAAGACTTCTTCAGGATGGTTGACTGGCTGAATAGTCTTTGTTCGAGTCTCAAACTCCACCTGCACTGACTTCTTCAATGCTTCTTTATTCTCTTAAGAATTTGGCTGCTTCAGCATCGTAGACTCATCAAAGGTAACTTTTCTTCTAGTGACAATTTTCTTTGATTCAGGGTAGTAGAGTCTGTATCCCTTAACACCGTCACCAAAGCCTAAGAAGACAACTTTCTTGGCTCTAGGATCCAACTTAGATTCTGTAACATGAAAATACGTTGGACATCCGAAGATACGTAGCTGATCATGATCAATAGCTGGCGCTCCTGACCATACTTCCATGGGAGTCTTGCCATCTAGTGCTGCAGCAGGTAGTCTGTTGACAAGATGACGAGCATAGTTCAATGCCTCACCCCAAAATGCCATGCTCAATCCTGAATGTGACAGCATACACCAGACTTTCTCCACCAAAGTGCGGTTCATGCGTTCTATAACTTCATTTTGCAGTGGCGTTCTACTAAGTGTGAAATGTCTCACTATCCCTTCATTCTGGCAAACCTCAAAGAATGGATCTGATGTGTATTCGCCGGCATTGTCAGATCTGAGCTTCTTGATCTTTCTGCCTATCTAGGTCTCAATCATTTTCTTCCACATAAGAAAGATGTCTAATACTTCATCTTTATGCTTCATTGTGTAAACCCATACTCTTCTTGAGAAATCATCAATGAACGACAGAAAGTAGTGTTTACCTCTCACAAACTTTGGAATAATAAATGATGTTTTTATACCAAGCAAAAAGAGGAAGACGACAGGGACAAGGTTTGGATTCGTACGATACGATTGCCCAGTAGCAGCTGAGATGGCCATCCAAAAAGATAATAGTACTTGGTGTGATGATAAAGTGTTAAAGGCGAAGAAAACTGAGTTTGGCAAGGAGCAAGATAAAGCCAAAAAAAGAGTTGACACTCATTTTCAAGTACCACAAAGAGCAGTGGATGGAAGAATGACAACTGATGCAAGCAATGCAAGGAAAGTGGGTGGAATGATAACAACTGTTACAAGCAAAGTAAGGGGAGTGTTGTATACAGAATTACTCAAAGGAGGAAATTCACCAAAAGAAAAAAACATTAGTTCTGAAAGTAGAGGAGTATGAGAATGGATGGCTGTATACGAGTATAGTGGCAAAACTGTAGCTGAAGTACTATAGTGGGGAACTCAAGGAGGAGCTACTAATTAGAGGATTGAAAAATGTGCAGTTGAAGGATGGGGGTGGGAGAATAGTGTACTTAACATTCTCTTCACCAGATGCAAGGAGGAACAACATGAAAGATATTCATGGGTGGATCCATGAATGGTGTGAATCGATTATGGAATAGGAAAAAAGGGATGATCATTGAGCTTAAAAGATATGTCTGTTCTAGAGTCTTTTCTAATCTTTGGAACAAACAAACCTTTTTAAAGATTGGTGAGATTTGGGGTGAAGTGGTGGAAACAGATGAGAACATATCTGATCTAACATCTCTGAAATTGGGTAAAATGCGAATCCTTACAACACAGTTGGAGGTTATTAATTATGTTATTAATCTAGAATTTAGAGGATGTTTATACCCAGTTAGGGTGTGTAAAGATGTTGAACTTGACAGTAAAGTTCAAGGCTCTTGTCAAAGCACCCAAAGAACCATTAAATCTAGTAATGGCCTTATCAATGGAGATCAAAGCTCGAAGAATCACAGAGGAAGGGAGGAAGATGGGGATGATGTGGCATGCATAGATGATGTGTTGGCAAACCATGATAATGTAGGTCATAATGAAAAGAAAGAATTTTGCAAGGAGGCAGGCGTGAGAGGCAAAGTTAATGATTAATTGTCTATCTCATCTATAAGTGAGACCTGTAGTATTGTCGGGAACAGAAGCATGCTAAAAAATCTGAGTTTGGGAAATAGACACTGCACAAGAATCGAAGGAAGTATGCAAGGAAATCTTAGCCAGAGTTCTAACAGAGAAAGTAGAAAAGGTGATGGGGTTTTGGGTTCTGAGGGCCTGATGAGAAGCTTAAGTGGAAATGGATCACCAAAGCCCAACATTAACTTAGAAGTAGTATTGGATCAAGCCCATTTTGATGGATTTTTGAATGGCCTGAATTGGGGCATACCCAAATTAGCCGGGCTGGCCTATAGCAATAACAATTGTGTGGACTTACATAACAGGATTACTGAGATCACTGATTCAACACAACTTGAAGCCCAAGTGGAACAAGATAAGGGCATTGGTATTGTTAGAAACGAAAAGGAAAGTCAAAGCAATCAAGATAATGATCCTTGGAAGACAGTAAAATGCAAGGAGAGTAGGTGAAAAAAGAAGGAAGAACCAGAGGAAAATAGTGACGAATACTGGGTTTCTAAGATAGGCCTTTTTTAGAGTAGCTGCAGCTGCTATCTCTTCATCATTGTCCCAAAATAGTAGATCAAGGAGAAATAACAACTTAATTAAGGAGGCTCAAGATACTATTCAGATTAAGAGAGATCTGGGAATAGATTTTGAACGCAAAGAAGATGAAGTTATGAGAGAAAATCATGGAAATGAATGAGAAGGACAGGAAACAAGCTGTTGAAAGGTGCAATGATACAGGTGCTTAGAATAACATCAAGGGAGGCTCTAGATTAAAAAGTAAGTTTTTATGAAGATTCTTTCTTGGAATATTAGAGGGCTTGGTAGGCTTGAAAAAAGGAGGAAAGTTAAAGAAGTTATCAAAGAAAGAAAAGTGGACATGGTGCTGTTGAAAGAAACAAAAAAGATAAATATTTCAGACCAGTTTGTGAAATCTATCTGGCCTCGTGACCTGGTCGGCTTCATGAATGTGGATGCTGAAGGGAGTGTTGGAGGCCTATTATGTATTTGAAAGCCTGAAGTCTTCTCCTTAGTTGATTGCTACTGCAATAGGAGCTTCATCATATTATCAGGTACCTTATTTAATAGTTTGGAGTGTGTGATTGTGAATGTCTATGCACTCAATGATGTGATTAATAGGAGAAGTTTATGGGCATCTTTGATTAATCTTAAGGCTGTCTTTCCCAAACCTTGGTGTGTATGAGGGGATTTTAATGAAATAAATTCGCTAGATGAAAGGAAAGGTTATGTAAGAAGGGATAGGGGTATGGTAGATTTTGCTAATTTTATTAGTAGCCTTGAATTGATTGATATACCTATGTTGGGAAGGAAATATACATAGTGTAATTCAATGGAAGAAGAGAGATAGAGTAGATTAGATAGGTTTTTTGTTGGCCCAGAATGGTTAGAATGGTTTAGATACAAACTCTAGGGTCTGCCTAGATCCATATCAGATCACTGCCTAATTATTCTAATGGAAGATGAGAGAAATTGGGGCCTAAAGCCCTTTAGATTCATCAATGTGTGGGCATCTCACCCCTCTTTTCTAAAGAAATTTTTTTTTTTTTTTTTTTTTTTTCTAAAAGAAGTTATAAAAGTGTGGGAGGGCACTTAGGTAGTAGGTTAGGCAAAGTACAAACTAAAAATCAAATTGATGGCACTTAAACAAGCTTTAAAGAAGTGGAATATTGAAGTGTTTGGGAATATGGATTTTAAATTGAAGCAAGCTGAAGAGAGTCTACATGCCCTAGATCTAATTGCTGAGAATAGAGATTTGGATGAGGTTGAAGGTAGAAGGAGAAGAGAGGTGAGGGGAGATATGTGGAAGTTCAGAAAGATGATTGAAAAAATTTGGCTACAAAAATCAAGGCTGAATTGCAAGGTAAAGGGAGATAAAAATATTAAATTTTTTCACATCATAGCTAAAAAGAGACAGAACACCAATGCGATTGACTCTATGATAGTGAATGGGACATCAGTGAAGGAACCTGTGGAGATGAAACAAGCTATGTATGATCACTTCAGGACCAGTTTTAATGAACTATGGAGGTGTAGGCCTAAGTTACTAGGCCCATTTAAAGTGATTGAACATAGCCAATTTTACAACCGTATCAAAGTGGATTTTTCTGAAACTAAAATTTGGGCTGCAATTACAAAATGTAATGGCAGCAAGGCACTTGGGCCTGACGACTTTAACATGACTTGCTACCAAAAAGAGTGGAGCTCTATGAAAGGAGATATACTTAATTTTTTGAAGGAATTTTATGTTAACAACAAATTGGTTAGTGGCTTAAATAGCTCCTTCATTATATTGGTCCCTAAAAAGGACAACCCTTCAGGTATCAGGAATTTAGGCCTATTAGTCTTATAAACTCCACTTACAAAATTCTATCCAAGGTTCTTGCTAATAAGTTGAAAAGATTACTTCCTGCTGTTATCGGCAATGCTCAATATGCATTTCTTGGGGGTAGGAATATTTTGGATGGTGTATTGATAGCCAATGAGGTAGTGGACTGGTGGAAGAAATCTAGAAGAAAGGGCCTGATATTGAAGTTAGATTTCCAAAAAGCATATGACACAGTTAATTGGAACTTTCTACTCCAAATGCTATCAAATTTTGTGTTTGGTGCTAAGTGGGTGAATTGGATTCGGACCTGCATTTCTTTAGTAAGTCTCAATGTTAGTAAATGGCTCACCCACATCTAAATTTTTTCCTCAAAAAGGACTTAGGCAAGGTGATCCATTATCACATTTCCTATTTAATGTGGTAGCTGAGGGTTTGAACTTATTACTTGCAAGAGCAAAGGAGTTGGGTTTGGTCAAAGGAGTAATCATTGGGTCCAGTAACATCAACATTTCTCATCTTCAGTTTGCGGATGACACAATTATCTTCTGTGAAGCTGAGTGGACTGAAGTGTTAAATTTGAAGAGATTACTAAGATGCTTTGAGATCATTTCTTGACTAAGCATAAACTTTCACAAGAGTGCTATATGTGGAGTAGGGATCTCTGATGATGTTATGGAAAATTTTTCTTTAAGATTGAATTTTACCTACCAGAAGCTCCAATTGAAGTATCTTGGAATGAAATTAGGAGCCAACCCATCAAGGAGAGCAACAGGGAAGCCTGTGGTGGAGAAATTTAAGAAGAAACTAATAGGTTGGAAGAGGAGGTTGCTATCAATTACTGGCAGAGTAACACTAATCAAATCTATCCTATCTTTATTACCTATATATAATATGTCTCTGTTTAGGTTGCCTAGAAGTGTGGCAAAAGAGATTGACAAGATCCAAGTAGCATTCCTGTGGGGAGATTCTGCTGTGAAGAGGAAAGTCCACTTAGTGAAATGGAAGGATTTAACCAAGGATAAAAAGCATGGTGGGCTAGGAATAAGAAACTTATGAGTAGTGAACAATAGCCTACTTGCTAAGTGGTGGTAGAGATTTGGGATGAAAGATAACTCATTGTGGTAACAACTCATCTGTAATAAGTACAAGTCAGATGGAGGTAGATGGTTTGTCATGACCCGAACCCACCCTCATAGGTTAAGGACATAACCGGCCAGTAATCACGAGATTACCTACGACCTTAAACCAAGTAAGACAAAACTCATCAGAGTAAAGAGGCGAAACGGAAGCAAATTTAAAACTTTGTCCTTAGAGTTGTGCTTGTATGGCACGTCATAACAAACCATGCATATACATGTTAATAACTCACATCAAAATATGTACTAACACAAAGTTTTGTACATACAAGATCATTCGAGTCTAAGTCAGCCAATCAAAACTATATACAAACGCATCCGAAGTCCTCGCAAACATGACAAAATAAAACAAGATAGCAAAAGGGCGAAGACGAGTCTCGTGTGTGAGACGTAAGGGCTGACTCTTCAAAACCTTAGTTGTTCCACACAAACTTCACTGAGGCTAAGTTTGAACCTCCCTTGGCTCACCTACAGACACATGAATGAGTGTGAGCGAAAGCCCATTGAATAATATCAGATAAAGAAGATACATTAAAACAGTATACATCAAACGGCCTTGGGCCAAATTCATGTTTCTACCTAGTATGTATATATATAGATCACGTGACTGCGGTTCCAAACACATCAGACGGCCTCGGGCCCAATCCATTCACGTTAAACTGGCCTTTGGCCCAATTATCTTTCATTCATGTCAGACTGGCGTTCGGCCCATTTATTCTCGCATGTCAGACTAGCCTTCGACCCATTCATTCTTTCATGTTAGACTGGCCTTCGGCCCATTCATTCTTTCATGTCAAACTGGCCTTTGGCCCATTCATTTATTCATGTCAGACTGGCCTTTGGCCCATTCATTCATTCATGTCAAACTGGCCTTTGGCCCATTCATTTATTCATATCAGACTGGCCTTTGGCCCATTCATTCATTCATGTCAAACTGGCATTTGGCCCATTCATTCATTCATGTCAAACTGGCCTTCGACCCATTCATTTGGTATAGCAACCATTTGTCCATAATTCAAATTAGCGAACTTATAAGGCTTATAGGGAAATAAACAAATGGACAAATAAAAAACTTCAAAATATCTTTATTAAGATATTACTCACAGTGATCAACTGGATGATTTGCCCTGGAGCTCGACCCTACACATTCCATGTACACAATGGGTCACAAACAAATCAATCCGTTCTTAATTCACATATTCCCCTTTAGGCTTCGTTCTTATCGTTTTAACTCATTTACAATGCTTAATGCATGCCTAAGAGTACTTAGAAGTGAAAGAGAACGGAAAACGAAGCACATAATGCATTTTCAAAATTTCAGAAACAAGGGTCCCCCACTCGAGCATGGACTTCCCTGCTCGAGCGGACCCATAAGGTCTGCAAAGGTACTGGTTGCCTCACTTTTACGCTCGAGCGTGAAGTCGGACGCTCGAGCTGAAGGTCATCCTACATAGCTCCTCGCTCGAGTGTGAACTTCCTCGCTCGAGTGGACATCATGTCTGCAAAAAGTCCTGGGAGCTCGTATTTCCCGCTCGAGCGGTGCCTTCCCCGCTCGAGCGGACATCCCAAATTCTGGAAAATCTAGAATTGTTCTTGAGCTCAAATTCAACATTCAAGTCAACATATCTTGCATATTAAGACTCAAACTTCACATATACATGTACTAACATGGTACAAACACCAAATTACAACATTATGAAGCTCAATTCCATGAATTACTTACATGCATGTGTAGACGTCCCCGAACGCCCCGGGAAGGTGAGGTCCCGTTCCGTTCGTGTTGCGGGTCTACTACAGTTCGGACTCAAATTGTCACGGTTCTTAATCTGCACCAAAGAGTCCAAATCTGGCAAATCGTTTTGAGAAAACAGATTTTTAGAAAAAGAAGTGCCAAACATGGACTGCTTTGCCAGATACAGAGTCGCCACCTAAATATTTTAAAATGGGAGAATTTTAGGAGAAGCCCTGACTCGGTGCCAAAGGCCCACGTGTTCGTCAATCACCAAGTTGGCCTCGGCTCGGGAACTTGGGTACGATTGGGGAAGGTCAGCTATGAGCACCCCCTCTCGCCGATCAAGATCAGCCTCTAACTAACCGTGACATCTTGTTTTTGAAAGCATTATGTGTTCTTATTCCAGTTATTAGCCTAGAATTACTATGTTATGTGCACAGCAAACAAGTATAGACCAATCGCCTAAATTGGAAAAAACATTTCATGTTTGTTTTGAAAATGGTTTGCTACTCCACAAGTAGGCTAAATGAAGGTTTTACCACCCTCAAGTGGGCTTTTAGAAAAGATGTTTTGCCACTATTAGTGGGCTTAAACTCCACAGTTTAATGCATTATTCCAATTTAGATAATTCAACCTCCATTCACAGGCATTCAAGCAGTTATATCACATAAGCAGCTAGCCTCATGGTAATCATGCTGTTATGGCAACACTCACACGGCATGCGGTATGCTAAAGCATAAGTGCTTACGCTAGTACTCCGAGCCAAAACAAAAACCTAGTTGTAATCACATGCATGATCCTAGTTCAATGTTTGAAATGGCTAATGCAAC